CCCACTTTCTCTTCACTTTTCCCTCCATTTAATCACTCATTTAATTCATTCGCTTTTTTTACTCAGCAATTCACTCACACATTAATTTTGTTACATCTCTCACTAAATCAAGAATCATTATCGAATGAGATATCGTTTTCGAAACTAAATAAAAATCAAACAGTCGGCATGGTTATATAAGCTTANTATATATATATATATACAATAACCTGTTTAAATGTTTTAATAGTGGTTATAAATTTTAGATCACTTTTCACATTTTCAAGATCAATTGAAAATTGAAACTTCTGCGTAGTTGTATAATACATCCTGTTGATTGAGATTTATATTTCCGAGAGATTTTTCATGTTTTGGTAGCAGGAAAAAGAAGATCATTGGCTTTTCCTGGTATGGGAAAGAGTTATCCTCGGAGAAGAGTTAATAATAGCCATAGGAAAGGACAGAATCCAATAGAATTTCTTCAAATTTTTCTATCTAATATATTTTTGCCAATGTTAAGCTTTTAATATGAATTGAAAAAAGGAAATTTTTTATTTTGATAATTATAAAACGAAAAAAGAAATTGAATCTTTCGAGTAAAAAAAATAATAAATAAATAGGAATCTGAATTTCAGTGCTGTTTTGATTGTTTGTTGTTGTTTATAAAGCAATTGTTCATACAATTGTTTATTCAAAATATAATTAGATTTACCATCGTTAACAACATTTTTAATGACATTGCAAAAATTAAAGGTAAAAAATAAGATTCAAGCAACTTTTTGAGCCTATAAGTATCTTATTATCTGAGGTTAGTGGATTCTGTTTCATGACCAAAATGTAAAAATATGCACTGTAATTAAATCTTAAAATATTACAAGAGTGTTACAAATTAAAATCTATCTATTTTTTGTGTAATAATTAAAGAGAGTTAATCAAGTTTAATTATTGAATTTTTCAAAAATATTTTATTGCATTTCTAAGTTTACTTTTCTGTGTTATATATTTCTTTGTAAAAATAGCATATTCTGCCATTATTTAAAACCTTGGGTCCCAAGAGCATAGAGTAGGTGGTAAGGATACTTACCACTCAACTCTATACAAAAATATAAGGCCATGTAATAAAAAGTGAATATGCGGTGGTGGAAAAATTATAACTTTGCCTAGTTTTTTTAATGAATAAGAATAAAACCATTTGTTTTTGTATTCACGTGTGGTACTAAGATATTTCTTGCATGTTTAGAAAATTTTTCTTGACAAATATGTTACTTGATTAAAAACTTCATTCGCTTCAAAAATATACAAATTGAAAATAACAGTCGACATGTTTCAAGTGCTCAAAAATAGGCTCCCATTTGCAAGACGTGAGAGTGGTATTTATTTAATTAGTATTTATTATCGCGAAGGTAGTATTTTTATTCATAAGTATTTATTTCATTTAAATTTGTTAAATATTTTCAAGCGTTAACTATGGAACAAAATTGTGGAAACCCCTGTGTCTTGGACTGCGACAAAGAAGGTTAAATATTTGCGCCTCTGTGCTTCCGAAAAACCTCAGCACTTACAAGCGACTATCACACAAATGTTTAGCCCCGCAGTGAACTGATCCCTAAGACACGGTTACCAGTAGAACACCGAAGTCGAGCATCCAGTGTGCGGGTGGGTAACCACTTGGATCAGNAAAAACTTCATTCGCTTCAAAAATATACAAATTGAAAATAACAGTCGATATGTTTCAAGTGCTCAAAAATAGGCTCCCATTTTCAAGACTTGCCAGACGTGAGAGTGGTATTTATTTAATTAGTATTTCTTATCGCGAAAGTAGTATTTTTATTTATAAGTATTTATTTAATTTAAATTTGTTAAATATTTTCATGCATTAACTATGGAACAAAATTGTGGAAACCCCCGTGTCTTGGACTGCGACAAAGAAGGTTAAATATTTGCGCCTCTGTGCTTCCGAAGAACCTCAGCACTTACAAGCGACTATCACGCAAATGTTTATCCCAGCTGTGAACTGATCGCTAAGACACGGTTACCAGTAGAACACCGAAGTCGAGCATCCAGTGTGCGGGTGGGTAACCACTTGGATCAGTCTGGGAAGGGACCGAGAGTGTGCGGTATGGGTCCTCGTTAAACTGTTCTATCGTAAAGTACTCGACTTCGCGCTCAGGTCGCCGGGCTACCGAAGTGGGGGTGCCATCCCCTCTGCAGAGCATCGAAATTGTGATGGCATGTCTTCGGATCATCCTCAGGAATGTTTCCCAGACCATCGCCAATAACCCCTTGTGCAGCTCTAGTGCAACTTAGATAAACTACAACTACTACAACACACAAATGTTTAATTAAATAGTTGTGAAATATATAAGGAGAACAAATGAATTTCTATGATGCAATCACTCTTGAAAAAGTGCATTAGTATCTAATTTTATTACTCCTTATACACAACTTATCTACATAATCTTATAATCTATCAGAAATTGCGAAGCATTAATCTAGTTCTACAACTCATTAGTATGTCATTTACTGAAAACTATTTAATAATTTCTGGGCATGACTCTGACACCCTCTTCCCTGTCACAGATTAAAAATTTAATATCAGTTCCACTATAATCGTATTCAATTCTATGAAATTAATCTTATTCTAACTAAGCCCTTCTAACTAAGCGCTAACTAACTAGGTTACTTAAAGCGTTAAAGTTTCCCAGTGACTTTGGGTCACGAAACAGTTTGCAGTTCAAAATAATAGTTAATCGTTCAGTCTGCACGTTTAAGTTGGGATGATTGACGAACTTGGGTCCTACACTGAGGCACATGAAGTAACAGATTCTCACCCTTAGGTCACCAAAGAACCTCTGCGCTTATAGGCTCATGGCAAACAATAACCTAATTGTAGCTAGATCACTTTATTTATTAATTATTTCTGGATTTGTATGCGCAATGTACGAAATAACTAATGCGTTGTCAAATTGATCAATTCTTCAAACTAAAAAATAAAGCGATACAAAGTCCGCATCCGGCTTGCACCGACCATAGTGCTGACTTGTAATATCCTCAGTGGTAGCCGGATCATGGGTTAGATAACCCTTGCCGACAGGCTAACCGTGGGAGGTTCTAGTCGTTTTCCTCTCCATGTAACGAAATGCGGGTTAGTTCCATCCATAGATATAAAGGTTCCATCATAAAGTCCTCCACGAAGGCACATTTCTCCCAATACTTGATCTAAGAGTTCCCATGTCTTCAGAATCGGGTTCAAAATTGCAAGGCTATGGAATATTAGTAGTCGCAAACTCAAAAATTGGGTCGACTGTTCACCAACGGTTATAAAATTATAAAACATACCAACTCTATCTGCGAAATGATCTCGTAGTACTTTATGTACGACTAGCTTATAAAGATATGACGAGATCTTCATCAATAGGGTGTTTTAGACGGCAACAGAAGGAAATCCATGGCCGAGGCGCTTTGTCCTTCTATTAAATGTTCTAAGCGGGTTCGAGTCGGAACATCACCTTAAATGTACAGTTGTGTTATCCCTCACTTACTTGTGCAATATGTTCTACAATTTGACAAGTCGTTCTTCGTATTAAACACACAAGCCCGCATAGTTATGTGAACAAATAAATTACTTCAATAACAGGAATTTTATACAAAAAAATATCCAGTAGTGATCTGTTCGTTAAGATACGGTTCCCAGTAGATCACCAAAGTCAAGCATCACTGGCAGTGGTCAGTGAGCGGGTGGGTGACCACTTTTATCTGCCTGCAGAAACGTCGAGGGTCTGCCGTTTAGGATCTCGTTAAGCTGTTCGAACGGTTAGAGCTCGACTCCACTCGCAAGTCGTCTGGCAATCAAAGAGAGAGATATCCCCTCTGGAGAGGATCAAAACTGTAAGGGCCGGACCATCGCATATTGCCCATTGTGCAACTCTATATAGTGAGACGTAAATAAATCACAACTACTAATTATACTACTGCTACAAAAATATTAAAGAAATGGGTGGCTCAGGCATTGAGGTCCAAACTACGGCAAATCAATACCCGCAGGTTTAAGTTTCGAAATTCCAGAGAAGTCTGAGTGTTGACAAGTGAATCGTATACAGATGTATAGTTATAATAATGATAGATCAAGGTCATCCTGGCTATTACATGAACCAGGTTTTAGGTCATCCAGGTTCAATACATCTCATTCAAACGACAATGAAGTTGGTTTTAGTTCAAAACTCGTATATCGTGGTCTAGTAAGCTGCAAATTTCTTCGTTTATATCAGGGAATGAACTAATGATCTGCGGTTGCATTTCGAGACTTTAGTATCCAAGCCATTGTGACCATATTTAAAGTTAACAAGAGAAGGTCGCAGGTTCGCGCATCTAATGTTAATGAAGAACCTTTACGTTTACCTACCTAAATTGAGAACTTACATCAGAGAAGTTATTTTGAATGATTTTGGAGCATGAATGTACGACTCGGTGTATTGAAATTTTAGATCTTAGAGTTTTAGTGTCTGATATTTTGAATGCTTTCTTCATTGAATTTTTTTCTCATTCAGTGCTTCACATGTTTTGATGGATAAAGTTTTTGTTCACCAAGATTAGTGCTGAAATTTAATTCCTCGTGCTAAAGGTTGAGTGTCTAACCGATTTTAGAGCCAGAAAAATCGATAGTTTTCTGGGTGACAGGGAAGCAGATTTGGAAAACTCGTGATTACTATCACCATCTGCTTTTTTTCTAGTGTAGTGTAGTGTAATTGCAGTAGTGTAGTGTACGCATGTCTTCACATTATCATGAAGATAGATATAATTTTTAGGCTCGTGTGCTCAATTTAGGCTTATAGACCTTCGTCAATTCAGATAGAAATTTGTCAGATAGAACAATTCAGAGAGGGACATCATACATACACCCAGGGTTACGGTGGGATTCGAACCCGCTACCTTCACGCTTCGCACGGCATTTGGTGGGTGATACCGCTTGACCAGGGCGGTCTTGTGTCACTTGGCTACCGTGGTATCTCATAAGTGGATTTTGAATGCGTGACAACTCAACGATGCGTGACAACTCAATCTCTGATAAAACCTATATAAGTTCAAAATTTCCTCATTTTGACAGAAGTGTATTCAAAATGAAGACTGTTAAGTGTTTCGTTTTGCTGTGCAGTGTTTTATTTGGGATAATTACTGTCAATGGTAATGAATTTTAATATTTGATTTCGTTTGTTCCTTTCGTTTGAATTTATCTTACATTAGTTATTTCCATTTTTATTTATTATATATTATTTATTAATTATTATTATTTTTAATTGATAAATTAATTGAAAAAATCGCAATATAATTGCCGAAAAGCCTTGTGTGGCCTATTCCTCAAGGTCTAGCTGCAAGCTAGGCCATGTCCGGAAGGTCACGAATCCTCGAAGTAATATACAATTAGAGATGCAGTTAAAGGTCCTCTTGCAAAGGTCAGCAGGGAGAGTCTGAAATATTTTTTTCTCTATTTACTAGCTTCTAAGACTAGCGGCAGATTCAAGAAAAAGAACACTTTTGAGTGCCCTATGGAATATGGAGTGTTTGCTAATCCTACTGACTGTCGGAGATTCTATACCTGCAACGGAGATGTAGCTTACGATACCCCCTGTCCCACTCCTCTCTATTTCGATGACTCTAAGAAACTCTGCGTTTACAAGACTAAAGATCTGCAGTGTGGTCCCGTTCCAATGAGTAAGTAAAGATTCCATTCTTAACTTTTCTGTTTTTCAGTACTTCTAAAATTTTAATTTTTTATCAAAATTTCAAAGTTTGTTTTATCTTAATTAAAGCATTTATTAGCCATTTGTGGTCTAGTGTCTCTATGTTTTGTTTTTGCCCAGTAAAATGTTTACATTAATTTCAAAATTTAGATTAAATGTAACTTTATGGCTACTATGGTAAATAACTGAACTATTGATTAACTAGAGCAGGTAAACTCTAGATTTAGTACGTTTTTTTGTTTAGCTTTTTAAATTTTTCTGATATGTATATCATGACAAAGATCCGGAAGTTTTCATTAATGTCACCTAAACTAGTTTTGAATGCTTTTTATTCTCTTTAAGTAGCATCTAGTTTTTTGTCTTTATATATATATAAACATAGACACCTTAAGTGCTTAACAACTCTAAGATTTTTTGCTAAGCTGAATGAAAAATGTAAATTTCAGATATTTTGAGGAGGAAGCAAGCTATTAAAATTTTAAAGCACTTCAAATTTTTTTTAAAAACAAAACTATGAAATTCTGTTATTTAATGTAATAACAGGAAAAAGCGCTAGAGATGATATCTGAATCTATTGTGTTCATAAGGTTCTGTACGTTACTTTCCTGTCCTACCTCTACGTCCGGGATTCATGTTTTATTGTATTTTAGAGTTTTTTGACACTCTATAATGGAGAGATTATAAAGCTATATAGTAGCTTAAAGGAATATTACATTATATAGGAAGCTGTGTAATACTCAAATGGATTACAATCTAGTTAGTATTTCTTTAAGTATAAACTAATCAAATTAAACTTGTAGTAGATAGAAAAACTTTAGATTTTGTAGTGTCAGGTTCCACGCATTATTTAAAACTGTTAAATTATGGCTTCTGACATCGGAAATATTTTACATTGCTGAAGAGTGATTTTCTTTTTGTATGCTTAATCTTTAAATTTTCAGCGCTTATTTGTAGGTTTAAGATACTAAGTAAAACTTGAAACACAAGCTGAAAGTTAAAGCTCCCCCACGAATTGTCGGTTGAATCCTAATTACTTTAAAATCAGTTTAACTCTATAGAAACAATTTGGTACACTGAATTTATAGCCCTAATTGACTATTCTTGATCACTCTCTTGACTGCTTAGCAAGAGCCTCCATTGAAGACAAACTACTGATCACAAGAATACTCTAATATTTATCATATTTGAAGGTATTCAGGATCAAACCTTTTTATATTCTGCGCAATAAGTTTCAATGAGAGCTTCTGCAAGAATCCTGATTCTAAACGTACAAAATCAGTTTTTTTCTTCAATTTTCCTCTTAGCTTGTAAAAGCACAAACTTTAAAATTTTCAACCAACGAGGAACTTAAATTGTGAAGAAGGAACCAGTTTTACCCTCTGCTTGCGATGCTCAGCATGGTAAAGCTTGTCATTCTGGTTGTTCACTTTTGGAATCGGATGCAAAAATTTAAACTAGATGTCAACGAGTTTCTAGTTTTATCTTAAATTTGATTGGGTTATGGTAATTGTCTCTTTCCCTTTAAATGCATAGAAACTTTGTTTTTTTTAGACTAAATATTGACCGATCAGTTGTTCAACAGGAAAGTGTCTACGGAATGTAATTTTAGGCGTATATTTTTAGAGTGCATTTGTCTGGGCTACTTTGATTGCGACAAGACTTTGATTAAACTTCAATAACATTTAAATCGTTATCTTTGTAAAATATTGAATGAATTTAAGACATTTAATACCTAGAGCATAAACTTTCACATAAGTTTTAAAATAGAATCTACTTTAATTTGAATAACTATTGTTCGCATGAACTTCAGTTCTAAAATTACTTAGCTTTTATAGTTAAGGGCGAACGGTTATTTGAGCAAAGGAAATAGTTATATAAATCAATCTTATTTATAGCAACTCCAGTTCCTACAACTCCTGATCCTAATGCGTCTCCAAGCTGCGAGCCGCAATCCTGTCGCTTGCCAGACTGCTTCTGTAGCGAAGATGGTACTCTTATTCCTGGTAACTTCTTGCCGAAGGACACTCCTCAGATGATCATCCTGACATTTAGTGGAGCTTTGAACGTTCTGAACGCCGAACCTTTCAGCTTCCTATTGAACGAGACTAGACTGAACCCAAATGGATGTCCCATCAAAGCCACGTTCTTTGTTCCTCACGAGTATACCAGTTACTTCTACGTCCAAAAGTTGTATGGCCTTGGTCACGAGATTGCAGCTCAGACTATAACGTGAGTAATTAAGGCTTTTTTTGATCTGTTCCAGAGTTCAGTTGAGTCACCTGTAAGTTAAAATATTGGAGTTTATAAACGTGTAATATCATTTTGAGTTTTTGCTGCTTATTTAACCCGATAAGGATTACGTATACGGTTCATAGGTGCCATCACATGTGGATATTTATGGTAACTAAAGAGCAGACAATTTTGCAAAAGGTTGCTGTTGAGACTTTTAATAGCTCCAGACAAGCATTCATGGAATTTTGTTCTGTCAAATCCGCTGTCGAGGACTGGCTACTGCCCCCGCCCCAGCCAAAAACTGGAACATGGCGACAGAACCAGGATTCTTTCCTTTTCAAGACAAATTAACTTTCCTATAGCTCCTAGCTAGCGGTCACCTGAAATATCAAAATCTCTGTAGTGAACTTTTCCCCATTGTCCTAACTTTTCTGTTGTCCTTCATCAGGCCACGCTCAAACATATCTTCTCGGCAGAGAAGAAATCCAGTAGCCTTCTGCTTGTCATTGATATGCTTAAAGTTAACTGTTTATTCGACCTGGTCTGACTAATAAGGAATACACACGTGATTGCGCTGTTCTCCCTTCATCGCCCATGATATCACCCATAAAAAGAGCCTTTTTGTCTCTAGCGGCTGTAGATTACACGGACATGGTCTCAATACGGTTCTCTCGTATTAAGAATCCAAGCTCCTTAGTTCGTATAAACTCTGAGTTTGAGCCGCGATAGATCAGGGGATAGAGCGTTTGCCTTTAAATGAGGCCAACCGTGTTCGATTCCCAGTCTATACGAATTCCGCATCCGGCTTGCACAGACCACAGTGCTAACGTACAATATCCTCAGTGGTAGATGGTTCATGGGTTAGTCCCCTTGCCGTAGGCTAACAGTGGGAGGTTTTCGTGGTCTTCCTCTCCATGTAACGCAAATGTGGGTTGGTTCCATCAAAAAGTCCTCCACGAAGGCAAATTTCTCCCAATACTCGATCCAGGAGTTCCCTTGACTTCTAGATTGGGTTCGAAATTACTAGGTTGCGGAATTGAACATTAGCAGTAATAAGCCCATAAAATTGGGTCGGCTGTTCAACGACTGTTATAAAATAAGGACTCGGAGTTTGCTGTTGGAAGCCGCCCTCGTATAGTCTTCGATCCTGATGGGATTAAGTAAACAGATTTCATGATTAGGAGGCAATATATTCTATTTCATTCAAAGTTTCTGTTTATAACTTTATTTCGAAATATTTGGTGCGTAATGCCGTTTATATTATACAGAATAGAACCTTGCGGTTCATGTGCCATCCTCAAAATCCAATTAATCTTTGTTTTAAGAACTTATTGAGAATTGTGTGATTATAAGCCATGTCTATATATTGAGTCTGAAAACTAAAGCCTTATTAAAGCTATGTAATTAGTGACGACTAAAGCTTTAAGGACTGATTTAAGAGACTTAGTTGCGATCGACAGTTGTTTTGAGTTGCGAAGCTAAAATCAAAATTAACTAAATCTGTAATCCTCTTAAGATTTTCAATCAATCTGGAATTTTTGTAAGAATTTAATCTTTTTGGCTTTAAGCAAATGTTAATTTACTGAAGCAAAATAATCAAACATTAAGTAAATAATCCAACTTAAAAATATAATTTTAAACGTGAGTGTTACGGCTATTTATAAATACTGTTTAGATTATGATTATGCTTCGTTTTGTACTAAGATTTTTAACGTTTTTTAAGTCTTCGCTCTTGAACAGTTTTATTAAAGGGAGTTCTTAAAATGTACAATCGTGATAATTTTAAGCCAAACGCTTGCATTGCGGATTTAGAATATTTTTTTCAATCATTTATTAATTATAAGCAATACTTAGACAGATGAAGTAATATTTTAGTTATACTGCCTTAATCTTATCTACTCTATTTATTAAAATTGATATAAGTTAATAAATACTTTGCTAGTTCCACGTATTTCAGAGCTTGGATATATCACATTCTGTGAAATGACAACCTCACTAAGTTTAAAATTAAAACGCAAGGGTAATCCAATATGTAATAAAGAAAAGGGGCTTGTTCTTGGGCGTGCAATAAGCTGCAAATTTCAAATATTACATAAGCATGATTGCTTAAAATTACTTTTATTTGATAAATTTTTTATTACCAACTAAACTATTTTTCACAGATCCTAAACTAATCCACTATTGTAAGATTTCTTTTGTTTATGGGCTAACAAATTAACTGCGGAATTATTGTAACCAATATATCTTTCTGAAGGTTAATTCGAATTTTATGAAAGAGAATCTGAAGTAGGAAGCAGATTTAAAAGGTTCTATAACAATAGGTGTAAATTTCCCATTAATGAAATTTTGATTGCAAGATACGGTGATTTAATTTTAAATCTGAAAATTTCGAAATGACAAATTTTTTAATAAAGGCAAATTTAAATTTTCTCATTGTAAGAATCGGAATGAAAAATTGAATGAGGGAGTATCCAACTCAGAAGTATTACTAAGTCTAAGCTTTTTGTTCATTTAATGAAAAGAACCAGGCACTCTAGATATTTTGAGTTTCATCCTTGCTACTGTTTATTTTCATATCATTTAGTTTAGTATAAATTCTTTTGGATTTAGTAAGTTTTTCTAAACTCAAACAATTAAAAGAAAATTTGCGGAATTCTGGCTAATTTTAGAATACTGAAATTTCCTCTTTACTCTCTCGGCTAAGACTCTTTATTTGCCAAAATTTAAATTCTTATATACGGGTGAGGTAAATGAAAATTCTTTTAAACTAAATCTACATGTTTGTATGGATTTTTTCCGACAAATTTGAGTACATTGTTTAAAGTTTTATTTTGAAATTTTAAAGAATGCATACTGTCTTTCTTTGCATTTTCAAACCAAACTGAGCAATTCATTTTTATTTTGACTTTATTTTTAAAATTTTCATTTAGAAGTTCGATTTAAAAATAATTTGATAGGTAAGTTTAAATAAAGTCATTTTTTTTTAAAGCTATAGCACTTGAACTTTCTGTTTAAAGCAAAATATTCTGTGTAAATATAAAATTAAGCAGTCTAGAGTTGTCGGACTATCTAACTCCTAAACAAAAGAAACTTGAAATTTTTTGTCCATTGAGACTACAGGTATAAGGTCCTGTTATGCTTACAGATTTAAATTTGGATAAAATGGAGATTGCTAGAACTATTAATTTCAATAATTAAAATTTTTACTTTCAGAAATCGCCAACCCGAAGAATTCTGGCCTAAAGCTACACACGAAGAATGGGTCGAGGAGGTCATTGGACAAAAAGAAATACTACGTACTTTTGCAAATGTCTCCAGAGAAGATGTACTCGGCATGCGTGCCCCTTTCCTGAAACCTGGTGGCAATAACATGTTGAGCATGATCTACGACTATGGTCTGGATTACGACTCTTCCTTGGCAGCGCCTTTGTCAGAAGTACCCTTGTGGCCTTACACTCTGGATTACCACTTACCACACAAATGCATATCCGAAAATTGCCCTACTAGATCTTTTCCTGGAATCTGGGAATTTCCCCTCAATACTTATTCGACAGCTGACGAAACTGGAGCTACTTGTGTCTTTCTGGATCAATGCGTCTTTCCTGACGATCCCGAAGTAATCTTCGAGTTTTTAAGTTTCAATTTCTTACGCCACTACACTACAAACAAGGCACCTTTTGTCATGAATTTCCACGTCAATTGGGTCACAGATGACAGCAAGGTGGCAGCTCTAGATGTCTTCTTGGATCATGTTATGGAAACTTACCCCGACGTTTGGTTCGTGACCATGCAGCAGGCTTTAGAATGGTTGCGCAACCCTGTTCAAGCTGAGCAAGCGAAGGTCTTTGAGGCCTGGAAGTGTCCCAGGACGAGGATGCCCAGTTGCAACATTCCTCGCACTTGCAGAGTCAAGTTAATGGAGGGTGCACGGGCTGACGTAAGGTATTTACAACTCTGTGGGAAGTGCCCCGAAAGATATCCTTGGTTGAATAACATCAGGGGTACGAAGGAAGGCAAAAGTGTGAAAGATTTGGTCCAAAAAACTACTACATAAGCTTGTTCTGGAACTGAGTTCATTTGTTGTTGTTATACTTAAGTTGAATAATTTTTAATAAACTTGTTTAGAGCTTTAAGTGTTTAGTTTCCTTCTGATGCTAAAACTCTAAGTATTGTGTAATATGGTATTGCTTCTAAATAAGTACTTTAGTTTTCGGTCTGTCTACTAGATGACACCGAGCCTTGTTGCATAACGAAAATTGCTGGATTTTTTATCAATTATTTTCGTAAACTATTTGAAAATGTTTCTTAGTATTATCCTTCTCCTAGTTAAGTTATTCGCAGAAATTTTTAAAGCGATAGAATTGGAAAACTTGTTATTTTGAATTATGAAGTATTTGAAAATTAACCAGGGCGAATTTCTAAATTGAAAGGAGATTCTAATTTCAGTTTATCGGCGTGCTTCGATTGACTATTTAAGAGTTTGATTTCCAATTTCTAAAATAAAGAGTTTGGTTTTTAAATTAAATCTTAAATGGACATTGAACATGCCATTATTCCATTATTGGAAATTGTTTAGAATGCGGTCATGAAAAATGTTTGGAAATGATAAAATTTAATCGCCAAATTAAATGAAGATGAAAGTTCTCTTTGTTTTTTTTATGTCTATCTAACCGCTCCCTAGTTACTATTTGATAATCACTTGCAAAGTTTCAAACTTTTTCTTGTTTTAAAAGTAGAGGAGGGATTATTTCATTTTCAAGGAACCAGAGACGCAAGCTAGAGTGGCGTGGTCTGTAATGTAATTTTTTAGAAACGTTTGAGTGATCACGTTTTGTATTTGACGGTTTTAACATTTTTGATCTGCATGAAATTTTAATTGCTATTTGATTGAAATTTTCATTGCTCTTTGATCCCTAGCATAAAGCAGAACTTTGATTAAGTTAGATAACTCTATAAAAGCTTTCCGGATGACAAAATACTTGAATGAGAAAGTTAAAATAGACATTACTTTGTTAAAAATTTCATTCGCTTCAAAAATACACAAATTGGAAATAGCAGTCTACATGTTTCAACCGCTAAAAAATACGCACCCATTCTTGAGTCTTGCCAGACCTTAATAAGAAACAAAAGTGATTTGAAATAGAAAACTAAAGTTTCCAACGGAAAACTAACAAAGGTGAGAAAACTAGAAAAACCTCAGTAACTGAGAGAAAAGAAGATTAAAAAAGGCAGAAAAACCTCAGTGGCAATCTAGCAAATCGGGGTAAAATGGATTTCTACATGCTATGGAGAGCCTGTATATTTTTTAAGCTAAAGATTTTTTAGTTCTAATATCTTACCGCTTCAGTTTCTTAGTTTATTTAAGTTAAAATCAGTTCAGTTTATTTAATGGTTCGTCTTATTCAGTTTGAGTCAAAATAGATTTTAGGTTGATCTCTACTGCATGGACAGATCTGGAATCTTTTTGCTCAATGAATGCAAAGGTCGTCTTCGTCTATAAATTTCACTTTGCATAGCAAAATCGGTAAAGCTTATAACTTAAAGCATTTATTTCCCTCTATACCTCCAAGATAATGATATAAATAGTAATAACAAAATTTATGAATTCTTTAATTTTTTCCAAAGCANTACTGTGTATTATATGTATATATATATGTGTGTGTATGTATATATACACAAGCATATATATATATGCCTGTGTATGTATATATATATCTGTATGTACGTATAACAATTTTACAACCTTTATTAACTACTTTTAATTCTCGCCAACAATACTCCTTTTACCTTCCTTTCTGAGAATCGAAAGTACTAAGTATTTCACTATTCTTAAATCCAATCTGAGATTTAAAGACAATACTAATTATTTCGCTAGTCAATCCAACCAGAGAATCAAAGATAAAACTATATATTTCCACTAATTTTGAAAAAGTGAATGAATCAACATTTTTCTGATATATATTGTTTTCAAAGATTTATCTTTAAAAAGACGATTAGGCATTATCTTTTTTAATAAGATTTGTTCAAGATTTTTCCAATTGCGTTTATCAAATCATATATCTACAACGAGGAGGAATCATATTACAATACTACTAATTTTCAATAATGACAATAATTAGTTTAACCATCGCTAAAGGTGATCAATAAAAATAATAAACCGTAATTAATATTTTTTCCTCCTGTTTTCATTTCAGCCTTTGAACACATTATTCTCTCAAAGGTAACATTTTCAAGAACTTGGCTTTCGAGACAGTTTTCGAACGAAAATAACAGATGGGAAAAGCTACCCCCGATTAATTGATTAACTTAGCCCCAAGGGCTTTTCAATTTTTATCGAAGGAGGAACAATAATAATTTAGTAGGGATTTTCATTTAGTTGGGATATATTTACTCAGCATATATCAATTCAACTGACCCTTCACCCAAATCTATGCATCTCTCACCAATAAGAAGAGAACTACAACTCACAAAAAAATAGACTACCCTAGATAACTTTCGCTCCCATGATTGGATCTTTACCTTCTCCAGGACTCTATCTTAATGGCTCGAACGGGTAACCTCAAATATGCTAATTAATTAGTGCAGACGATATTTTAAATTAATAATCAGACACAAAAACGTACTTTCTTTGAATAAATATACTTCTTTTACAACTTATTCAGATTTCTGACCCTCAAAATATAGGGGATAACTGGTAACAATAGCAATACTACGTATTATTAAAAATACGACTTTTTTTTAAAATTCTATTTCCCAGGAACGATTCGACTAATTTTGTAAATTTTGTAATTTTCCATTTAAAATTGCCTTCTTTAAATCGATGTAAGAATTTATGCACCTTACAATTCAAATTTGTTTAGGGAAATAGGGAATTTGATAGCATTTTCAATTAGCCATGGGTAGAAGCGTCTGCAATATATTCGTGAAATGTTTCTGCGGTCATCGATTCATTTCACGAATCACTTTTTTCAACGAAATCTATAGCAGGAACTGATTCTGTAATACCCCGAGAAATTCTTCAGTAAGGAAAAACTACCATACGAGGTACTTTTTTCCACTAGCTGAAATGTCGGCGAAAACTTTATAAAACCTTATAATTTCTAGGGGCGAAGATTTTTCCTGTTTAACCCCTTAAAGATCGGTCAATTTTCAAGAAAACGGTCATAAAAGTGCCTATTTTGCCAAATACACGTATTTGATTAGTGCTGACATCTAGTTTAAAACAGACTAACTATCTACAATTACCTTACAAATATCCTTTTACTGCGATATGGTGTGTAAAATGAGAAATGAAATGTTTTCCGGGCAAAAGAAATGAATTAGTTTTACTCTTATTGGCACGTTACTGCTAAACATTCCAGCCCGGAAATTTCACGGGTGCGAGAAGGAAGGGGTTAAGGTCAGTAATCAACTCCTGTTTCGTTCGCATTGTAGATGCGATCACTTTCTAAAACGATGTCAGGGCTACTTTCCTCTTCAAGATTCCTCTAGTTCTTTAAACCATACTAGAATATTATTCTCAGTAAGGGAGGTTTTGCCTTTTAATATCATCTTCGCATTGCGCTCAGTTATCAGTGGATGTCGTCTTAATGTCGTTATGTTCTTTTTCACCCGTAAGATTGTCTTTAAATGGATTTTTCCTACCCGTTTTCTTCATGACCTTTAAGACCTCATTAGGATAATAATTTAGCTAATTATTGTCACAAAAGCCAGCAAAGAAATGTTCCGTTCAAGTTTTCATTATTATATTTATTTAGTTTTCGATGAGTAAACATAGTTTATTAAGCTGTCTAACGTAGGATGTAAGTAACCAATACATTTATAAAGATAAATTATAATTCTTTTCATAAATTTAGCAATTACATTAGCATCTTGAAATGAAATTATATTAGGATTTATTCCTGCAACATTTAACAGAATATTAGGCGTCCTCTATATAGCAGAACTACTAAATATCTTAGAGCCATGTATAATCATATTTAACCGATACTGTTCATTCACTGGGAAATCTATTCCCAGTGAAGGATCATGCCTGTTCCTTCACTGGCTAGAAGTTGTTTGCTGTATTTTTAACAGAATTTTGAGGTATAATATGACTAAAGGTACAGGAAAATATAAATTTTTCTTTTATTTTCATTAACTTGGAAAAATTCCAGTAAAGGAACACTTGTTCATTCATTGGTTTTTCATCATTTGGTAATCCAGTTATTAAACACCCCCTAATCTCAGTACTTGCTTATGCTATGATGCTTAAAATAAATAAAAGGTAACTTCAATAACCATATTTTGAATTTTTTTTTACACTCTTAAAATAAAACTATTACATAAATAAATAATGAAACTACTACATGCTATTATACGCACTTTAAATGGATAACTACAAACACTGACCATATAATTTTGTAAAAGAAACAAGGTGGTGCACATGCACAGATGCTAATAAATTCAAATTTTTTTTCTGAGAAGGCTATATGACCAGGTAACCCAATGCATTGTTAGATGACTTCCTATTGCTAGGTAGTAAGCTACTGTTACCAATCAATCTAAGTAAAAACTTTTAAAATCCCATTTTTAAAAAAATATCTGTGAGATGTTCCTTCATTGGTTGGTTTACCCTATATATCTAAAATTTTTTAATCCAATAAAAAAGAAGATAACGGATTTTTAGCGTTATTTTTTTTAAAAAAATATTGATAGTTGTATTGACACTGATTTTTATGAGTTGAAAACGAGCCTTTCAATTTAATTAGCTGCATTGTATATCGATTTGAAAATGCGTAAATCCTTTTCATTTCCTCCATTAAGAAGTGAAAGTACAATGCTTCTAATAGAAGACAAAATATGACCAAACATGAATTCTGCCCAGTTCAACCATAAATGCTAGGTCTATAGTGTCGTTTAAAATAGTGTAAGTATAGCTTCAACTCAGAAAAGAAATGAATTCAATATATCTTTTTACAATTCAAGTTCTGATCCAGAAACTTCTGGAAATGTTTTCCCATTCCGTGAAAAATAGGAGGAAATTTATTATATTGAAGGAGAAAAATATTGCAGGATCTTTAAAGTACGCCAGAACGATTCCATTCGAATATCATATTTCATACTAAGGCTGTTGAAATAATATGTTCTCCTT